CAGGAGAGATACAACTGCTTTGCCGACAATTCGTCTCTTTGACGAATTGCAGTATGTTGCTAAGACTGGCAAAGTTCACTGACGATGTTGACTAGCATGACGACGAAACGTCTAGGAATGTTTCAAAATCACGATTGGACTATGGAAATTATTATGCATACTATGGATTACGGGAAAGTTGCGTTTATCTAGGTTGCCCTGACAATACGAATAAGTTGCTAAAGCAAGGTCAAACAAATTATCTACACAGGTATGCAGAAAAACTGGGTTTCGAAAAATGCCTTAGTAGATTGATGTTGGAGTACTTTTCATTTTGTTTAAAAAGGTAAGTGGAAGGGATTCAAAACTCTACATCACCAGAAGCTGTAGGGGGATTGCCTCAGAGCCGTGACTCTAGATTTGTGTGAATACGACCTTGGCACATCGTACTGCGATCCCGATGAATCCTTGCTAAGTTTTCATCCGTCATGTGACAAACATAGTCAGAGCAGGACATCATGCATAGCGATAATACACCAAGCACAAAGACAAGAAAGGTGTTAGAGGGACCTTTTTCGGATGAAAGTACATGAAGAAGAGATTCGTTGGTCGATCTCACCAGATAATAACAGATGAATCTCGTTGTACTGCAGCCGTTTGGCTTTTTACGATATTTATGTTGACGCAGTCCACGAGACATCCTCGCTCGTTTCGGGTGAAAAAGTGTTGAGCTTTCGTCCATCAAATAATGGACATCATCAGAGCTGGGTTTCATTCTTGTAAGAGTCTCGTGCTTCATGAATCACGTTTACGATCAAATACATTTATTGTTAATATGAGATGTATTCAACCTATTTCGTCTAAGGTGATGAAGGATTGGTAGTAGAATTTTCCCACAATGATATGAGTTGAGCTGACGTTTCCATTGAATATCACATAGCCTTGGTTTTCCAAAAGTTGTTCTCATCCAGGGTGGACTGCAGTTTCGACCTCGCATCGGTCTTATCAACACCCTCAGCGAGGTCGAAACTGCAGTCCACCCTGGAATAGAACAACTTTTGGAAAGCAAGGCTATGTGAAATTCAATGGAAACTCATATCATTGTGGGAAAATTCTACTACTAGTCCTTAATCACCTTAGACGAAATATGGTGGATACATGTCATATTACTGATTTACTGGTAGTCTCGAAACTCTACTCTAATACATTTAATGTTAGCCGAATAGTTCTAGACTCCATCGCGTCTATCTCGTTTCTATCCATAATACCAAGTCTATTACTTCCTGTGCCATTGTCTCTTGTGTGCCAACCCACAAATGTTGTGGTTCTACTTGTTTTGATTAATTTAAGTAAAGTTCATTTGCATCGTAATGCCTACTCATCCCATTGTGTGAAAATTCACTATCAGGCCTTAATTACCTTGGACAGCCTATACAAGATCCACTGCAGTTTAAAAATCATGCTAAATTCGAATACGATAGGATTTAATCAAAAATGGTATTAAAGGGGTTTCCAAAACTGTTAAAATTATTTAAGCTCTTCTTGTTGGACAAAAAAAGAGAATGATAAATTCATATGAAGTGGGTAGTAGACTATCTGTAATTTTTGAATTCCTATAAGGATAATAATAATAGATCTTTTTGCAGTTTATGGATTCGAGCGGATTGTGCAAAAGACAGAAAATCAGTCTAGAAAGTCTCCAAGAAACATATGCTCTAGTTTGGTCTGCCTTAGTGTCTATAATGTGCGACTACTCTTATCACCCTAAACGAAATATGGTAAATATATCTCATATATATGATCTACTGGTGATCTCGAAAAACTGCTTATAATAACGAAAAATAAGTAATGCGCGCGAATGTTATAAAAAATACAACTTTGCGTCATCGCAAAGTACCTGGTCTTCGTTGAAATTCGCACATGACCAATGAATTAAGGGCTTTTTTGGAGGTGAGACGTAGTGGATAACATATCGAGTTTATAAACTGCACTACTCTGATTCGAGTCCAGTTGGGGGTGTTGATACGATCTATGTGAGGTCGAGACTGCATTACACTGTGGATGAAAATACCTTTTGGAAAGCAAGGCTATGTGAAATTCAATTGAACTGTAAGACCTATTCATAGCATCGTGGGAAAATTCGACTACTCGTCTTCTTATAAATGTAATAGAGTGAATGCACCTCATCTATAGAATCACCTAAGCAAATAAGGTAATCGAAATGTAAGGAATTTATGACTAGAACGAATGTCTACAAAAGCGCAAGAAACAATATAAAACAATCTTTAACAAAGATATGAACTATTTTACTATAATATCAATAATTACACTTTAGGTGAAAATGCGAAAGATCATGGCTTCCGCGCATTTAAAGTGAAAAATAAACCTTATATATCAAGATAAGATACGACGATTTCTCTCAAATCCAGGTCACAGAAGAGTAATGAACTCAAAATTTTCTCTTCGGGAAAGGTAATTCCATTTCAGTTCTCTCTTACGTTTTGACATGCAAGAGACGGTGCCAATAAATAACTACGAATAGAAGTTCGTTCAATGTAAATCACGAATACTTTGTTGATTCAGAACTGATGGAACAATGGTATGGTAATTGGTAGAGGTCACAATAATAGGAGAGCTCTGGGCTCAAGTTGTGTAAGGAATAGGATTATTGTGGCTCTCGTTTATATCAGTATGCTAATGCTTTCAAGAGGGACAATAGAGTCGAAGAATAAAAATGAAACAGAGAAAACCTTCACGCACATTACTTATTTTTCGTTTTTATAAACAGGTTTTTGAGATCACCAGTAGATCATATATATGAAATATATTTACCATATTTCGTTTAGGGTGATAAGGGTATTGGTCTCCCATTATAGACACTAAGGCAGACTAAACTAGGGCATATGTTTCTTGGAGCCTTTCTGGACTGATTTGCTGTATTTTGCACAATCCGCTCGAATCCATAAACTGCCAAAGATCTATTATTATTATCCTTATAGGAATTCAACAATTAAAGATAGTCTACTACCCACTTCATATGAATTTATCATTCTCTGGTCAAAATCGGCTATTTACAACATATTTTGCCTATCAATTAGGGTAATGACTTAATAGGATATTTGAAGAATGAGCATACCAGCACTGAAGTTAATGATTGCCATTTCCAGCATTTTCATCAGCCTGAAAGGCACCATCCAGAGCTGATTAAAGAAAAATTATATTTTCCCCTCACCTGTCGAAGTGACCTCATCATCTTCCTCAGGACCGTCTTCTCCACCCTCGAGGCCTGTCGTTTGGTCATTGTAGAAGCTGGCCCACTTTGTGCTAGACACCGCGGCGAGAACAGCACCCTTAGAGAGAGAGCAAACAAAAGGCCTCGTGTAATATAAGGCAAAAGTCAGTGAGTAAAAATTAGACAGGCGATAAATCCGAAAGTGCTAAATTTGTAACATAATTTCTGAAAAGTTGATGAGACAGGCTGAGACTTTTAAAATAAGTCAGTTTATTCTAGCTACTATTGAAGGCTATTGCATACCTTCAAATGAAAAGCATCCAGAACAGCCTGGACGTTTTCTACCAAGCATAATTGTATAAGCGTGATAGAAACAGAATGACAGCAGGTATGGCGAAATTCTAATTCGCGGCATTCTGCCCATTCGGTAGTAATAACCAAGCGTGGAGACATGAGCCACTTCAAGGTATGCATTTCAAGGCAAAACTGACCTTGTACTTTGCCCAAGAATATTTCTTGTAAAGCGAATCACATGACTGTTTCGTCAACATTTTGCGATTATAACATGCATGGATTGCATGCCAACCGGCAAATGTGAAAATACGTGTATGCATTTTTGCGCACATATTTGTACATGATTATTATGACAGTTGATTCTAGTTATTTCCCGGAAAGTCAATAAATATTTTACACAGAAAAATTAGCAGTCCGTCTGCTGACGAATATTTAGCAATAGCCAGCAATGGACGTGTTTAATAAGTATATTTCATTTTGGCAAGCTTTATGCTTATGACGAACTAAGGGACGTCCGGAACCCTTATGTAATTTAGTTGTACAGAGATGAGCAACATGGTTCACATTAATGCTCTGTAGCTTAAAGGTAATGCTGTCAAATTTGCTTTCAGGTAAAGAGGCCAAGGCTCCCAATAAGTCCCACTGGGGGAGCCAAAGTGACCTAAGCCAGGTGGGAATCATAAAAAGATATATTTGAATGGGTTAGTTCGGCGGAATAGGTAGATAGGACTTCATTAATAAAATCAACCAGCCTATAGTTAATGGTACCGATCCATAGTACACATTTAAGGTTTATTTTGATTTCTCAAAAAATAGATCGGAGGTATTTATCCGGCATATAAATTGGTGATTACGAAACACACTGGAAGTGAAATCATGGGTTAATAATTGCGAGGCCTATACAATCTTCTTGCTCATGGCCTTTCTGGACATCTGAGTGGAAGCAAAAGCAAGTCTAATTAGAGTGGGTCATGTTTTTGGTCGGTGAGTACATTTCCGTGATTTAATTGAGGCAGACTTTGAGGATAAAATTAGCCACAGGAGCAAACCGAGCAGTTAGGGGCAATTCAGGTACTTATATTTGCTTTATGCATATCACTAGCTCGAATATGATAAGTGGATGTTTAGAGCCTAGTAAAATGGCAATATGGGTACATAACTTGATTCCTCCGATAAGGTAGTCAAGTGGAAGAGTATTAACAAAAGTTATATTTACTTATGAAAAACGTGAGTAATATTTCATCCTAATATTAGTAGCTTTAAAATTCTAAATTATTCTTAACGAGGACCATTATATTCATATAAATGTGTGGATGGGACGTAAATTACGAAAGCAAACACTACTCATGCCAAGTGCTCTGGAAAAGAGCAGCAACTGCTAGCCTATGCCTTCATATTTAGATAGCAGATGGGCCCTATTTTTATGTATATAATATGGAGAGGAAAAGCGAATTATTTTTGAAGCTTTATAAAGGAGTAGAAATGCTGGGATGTAGGCTAAAATTGGCTAAATACATAGTGCTAAAAAAATTGATGTTGTCACAAATGTAGAGATAGGCGTGAAGCAATGTTTGTTCAAGCATCTAATAGGTTCTTGAGAGATTCC